TTACTCTCATACGTGTGAACTATGTCTATCTCGGTGTTTTATCTCTCTTTCTCTTTTTCTTTTCACACTCACATACATAAATAAACACACAGGTACTCATCAGCACAAACACATACAAACATACACACTATGTGAATTGTTTCCAAAAGAACTCATTAAGACCAATTAGGAGCCAAACAAAAAAGTAAGGGTGCTGTGATTTGTATTTTCTTTTTCATACTCACCTGTATTTCCACAGTTTTGTATATCTGCTATCTTTCAATAACAATTTAAGATTTATATTCTTAATGAGAGACGGCGGGTGGGGGGAACTGACAATCACAGGCTGCATATCCCTTCATCATGCTAACACTGTGCTGTCTCACTAGTCTCAAGTATAAATGGAGACGATGAAATTGACCATCCTCTTGCACTTTTCAAGAGAGTGAATGACATAAGAGGCTTACATGCAGAGCTCCGTTAATGCTAGCAATTATTCTTCCTGCCATTACCTCACAGATAGTGGCAAAACAAAGATGATATGTCAAGGACCTTTTGGGAATGTTAGTTTCTAAAAAAAAAATTGTCTGAGTCAGGTTTCAATAATAGTATTGACAAATAGTTACCAGAATATCTACTGCTATCTCATGTTATTTTTGGACTCTTCTCATTGGGGTAGGGGGGTTGAGACAGGGTCTCTCTGTAGCTTTGGAATCTGTCCTGGAACTAGCTCTTATAGACTGGTCTCGAACTCACAGAGATCTGCCTGCCTCTGCCTCCCAAGTGCTGGGATTAAAGGTGTGTGCCACTGATGCCCAGCTCAGATTGCAGATTCTTAAAGAAGTGTTTGTTTTCCTCCACCAAGTACTGTCTAGACAACAGTGCTGTCCACAAAGGAGGAGATTTTTCTCCTTGGTGTTAAGTGTTGTGTTCACTCACATTTGTATCCACCCACAAGAATAGGTGAATGTATTATCAATTGATCCTACTCACTTGGCATTTAAAACTCAGAATCTTACTTTTGCCTAATTTCCATTTTGTTTTATAAACATGGCCATTTTTCTTAGAATTGTAAGGAAAGGGAACTAGTATATTCCTAACAAATGTTTTTGGCCATTAACCTGGCTGTCTAGTGGTGAGATAGTAAGAGAGAGCAAAACTGGAGAATCCTCTTAAATGTGCTGTTGAGAGCCAAAGTGGAAGGGAAAAGCCAATTATGGAACATACTACAGACTCTTGCTCTTTGGCATCATGGTTGTCATGGAGATTTTTCTGATAATAACAGGCCCCGTTTGCCATTTGCATCACTTCTTAACTTCCCCTGTGATCCTAGTATGACACCAGATTGTAATTTTACTGACCTTGGTGGCATTGATCTCCAAAGGACATAAGGATCTTCTAGTGCCCAGATTTTAATTTCTAGACAGCAATCTTGAGCTCAGAGATGTTAAGTTCAGAGTCTCCCAAGATAGCACAGCTAAATAATAGCATAGCTTGATATTGATAAATATTTATGCATAAAATATAGAAAGCACATTATTTTCTATAGATATGCATGCACATTTTCTCAAATATCTGTTGTGAGTCAATCAATACAGCACTTGTAGTGGGCCTGCAGCACATCCATTGTACACGGGAAGAAACAAAGGCAATAAGCTATTTACCATTTCATGACAAGAAACTGAAGTTCAGGATAGAGAATGATCACAACCTTTGGTGTTGGTATCATAAAGTAAAATTTGCATTGAGGATTGGCAAGATGCTCATTCAGTGAGGGTGCTTGTATCAAGTTTAAGACCTGAGCTTTTGTAAACACATGGTGGGAAGAAGAAACTCACTCCCAAAGTTAGCCCTCGGTCCTGCACACTGACACACATGCATGCACGGATGTACACACACACACACACACCCCATTGAGAAAGTAGGAACAGAAAGATTATAAAAAGTCAGTGGACGAGAAGGACCATTTTAAAGCCATGTTATCTGGAAATGACATGTCCATTGCATTTATGAACTCATAGCAGCTCTGGACCTGCACAGATCAAACTAATCAAATTCTAGGCATAGATGGGGAGGCTCAAACAAGCCACCCGTAGCTGAAGAGCTATGGTAGTTGAAGGGTCATGAAACTCAATTTTCTTCAAGGAAGTGTCCCTTGAGAAATTGCCCACATTTGGCTCTACCTGTATCATACCTGTATCACTGACTGAACTCAGTAGAAAATACAAAGAGAAAATAAAGGGAGACAGAGGCTATAGGGTAATGTCTGAGAGAACTTAGAGGTGGAGCCAGTGGTTGGTACTATCAGAATTTATTATAAACATTGTGAAACTCTCAAATAATGAGTAAGGAAGGGCGCATGGCAAATTCAGAAAATGAAAGGGAGAAATTATATAATTATACTCTCAAAAATAAAAATATCTAGTGAATCTGTAAAGATAACGTGGAAATACCATGGCATAGTTATGAACAATTTTGTTTAAATCAAAGCAGAATGGTAAACCACTGCCCGTTGTTATCGATATACCATGGTCCTGTTTTAAACCAGAGACATAAAACCATAAATTTATGTCTGACTTGAGATTACTGGCCAGAGATGACAACTCAGTTTGACTAATGATGTGAAACCTCTCCAGGTATTCTATGCTCCCTAAATATTATAAGAATTCTCTTGAGAATATATAAATAAAAATACCAGAAGCAAACTAAAGAAAAAGCTTTCCGAACCAATAACTTTATTACAAAATGGCATAATTTTCCATAAAAAATTCATACCAAAGAATGATGAATTCTTGAACAGTGTCAACAATGCTTCCACTTCTCCAGCATATTTGACTAACAAGCAACTGCCTTCCTGGGGAGTTCCAGTCACTAGTCAGCCATGCACATCCTATATACGCGAGAAAATAAACCAATCACATGTAGTGTTATATGAAACTGAGGGAAAACCGACGGGTGACTATAATCCAAGATATGGGTCTTGTGAAGCCCTGTCTTAAGACAGAAGTTTAGTTACATTTTTGATTGTTTGTTTATGTGTTCACTTGACTGTGGCATAGTCTATTACTGTAGCCCAGGCTGGAATGAAACTATGTGGCCCTGGTTGGCCTAAAGCCTATGGAAATCCTCTTGCCATCTTTTTCTATTTGTTCTTCTCTCATACACTACATCTTTACAGCAGTTTTTCCCTTCCTCCCGTCATCCCAATCACCCCCACAAACTCCCTTCTCCATCACATCCACTTCTCTGTTTCTCTTCAGAAAAGACCAGGTCTTCCAGGATTATCAACCATACATGGCATAACAAGTTATTATTATAAGATGAGCACATACCCTATGGTCCAGGCTGGGCAAGGCAACTCATAGGAGGAAAGGGCCCCAAAATCAAGTAAAAGAGTCAGAGGCAGGCCCTACTCCTACTGTTGGGAGTTCCCCAAGAACGCCAACCTATACAGCCATAACATATACGCAGACGACCTAGCTCAGCCCCCTAATGGTTCTCTGACTGTCACTTGAGTCTCTGTGAGCTCCTATGCGCCCACCTAGTTAATTTTGTGGGCAGTGTTCTTGTTACCCCTGGCTTACTAATGTTGGGAACATACATGTAAACCACTCCTCTAGGCTCTGGAAGAATATTAACATTCTATCATTTTCATCCATGGACATGTTTATCACCGCACTATTACAACTATTTCATTCCCAGGACTGTGAACCAAGGTATTGTATAAGGCATTTCTGCTTCATGATGGTGAAGGTCACCTGAAGAAAACAGGTAATATCTCAGGTAATATCAGCCTAAAATGTTAGTTATTATACTACAACCTTTATATCACTCTCTTAAAAACATACAGTGATAGGACACAAAGTGTTGAACATACATAGACAATTAGAAAGAATGTTCCAGTGTGTCATGTGCTGTTAATCTCAGCAATGTTGAAATGTCTAATGACTATAGGACAATGAATTCACACAAGTCTTTGAAGACCAAATTTGAGTAGTTGCCTGAAATACCAGTATATATTTTATACAGTGATACGATTGGCTATATTGACCAGGACAAATTTCCTGGTGTAATATAGAAGAGTAAGAGAGTTCGGGGTTCCTTCAACTCATATTTTGCTATTAGTCCATAGAATAGTGATATAGATCATATATTGTCAAGATGCCATAAATCAAACCATCAGAATACTGAAGAATTGATACTGAAGAAATCCTGTCTTTTTCACCATTATTTTTTTCATGATTCAAAGTCCCACAGGGAGCCTAGGCAGTTTGGATGCTCACCTTACTAGACCTGGATAGAGGTGGGCAGTCCTTGGGCTTCCCACAGGTCAGGGAACCCTGATTGCTCTTCGAGCAGATGAGGGAGGGGGACTTGATCGGGGGAGGGGGAGGGAAATGGGAAGCGGTTGCGGGGAGGAGGCAGAAATCCTTAATAAATAAATAAATTAAAAAAAAGTCCCACTATAGTGTTTGACATAAAGTTTATTAAGTGGCTACTAGTGATCAAAATCAAGCTGTTTCTGATTAGTCCACCTAAAAGGCACAATAAAGCCAATGTGTAGCTTTATTTCTTTCAAATGGGAAGTTTTGCTATGACCACTCTCATCTGATCAGTATTACAGAAAAATCAATGGTCACGAACTGGTCCTAATTATCAAGATATTCATGAGACAAGGTTGGTGGACTCTGGGGTCAACAACATTAGAAATCTTCCCTTGAGGGATAGCCTTGTAATTTAACAGTTTCATCCTTGCACAAGTTTCTCAACTTGATATGTCTCAAGCACATATAGATAGAATAATTAATGATGAGACAGCGATTTTGTAACAAGGAAATTATGAACATAATGGTCCTAAAAAATGTTGTATTTCCATGACATCAAATCAATTGTTGGTTTTTATTGGCATGTTGTCTGTTTCAAAGACATATTTATCCAAAGTGCCATGGACTTTGTAGTGTTCCTGTAATGTGCACAAAATTGCAAATAACAGAAACTTTGACATGGCATTGTGTTGAATCTTATCTGTGACCTTGGCTAAAGATTGTCTTTTTCTGCAGCCTCTTCATGGCATCTTTGATTTCTTTGTTCCTCAGACTATATATCAAAGGATTCAGCATTGGAATCACCACAGTGTAGAAGACAGATGTAAATCTGTCAAAACTGGAGGAGCCACCAGAACTGGAACGCAAATAGACAACGATTCCAGAACTATAGAATAGGGAAACAGCTGCCAGGTGAGAAGCACAGGTATTGAATGCCTTAGACCTGCCCTTAGCTGAAGTGATTTTCATGATGGACAAGACAATGAAGCCATAGGATAGCATAATGACTAAGGCATTTGCAAGTCCAAACAACAGTGTTAATAAAGCAAGCAGGACCTGTGCAAAGTAAGTGTCTGTGCAAGAAAGATTTAACAACTGTGATATGTCACAGAAGAAATGTCTGATGACATTAGGTCCACAGAAGTGGAGCTGCAGCAAGACACATACCTGAGCTAAGGAACCTATGAGCCCTGCTGTGTAGCTTCCCATCACCATGCGAGCACACAGGGTGGGTGACATGATTGATGAGTAGAGCAGTGGGTTACAAATGGCAGCATACCTGTCATAGGCCATGGCTGTCATGAGGCAACATTCACACAGTGCCATAGTGGAGAAGATGAAGTACTGAACTATGCAGTCCACAAAACTGATTATTTGGTTTTTCTGGAAGAAGTTGGAAAGCATCTTGGGGACTGTAGAGGTGATGTAGCAGAGATCTATAAAGGACAGATTACTGAGGAAGAAATACATCGGTGTGTGAAGGTGGGCATCCATTCTTATTAAAACAACAAGGGACAGGTTCCAGGTGAGCGCTGTAATGTAAAATGTGAGAAATATAACAAAGAGCAGTGTTGTGATTCGGGGGAAATCTGAGAATCCCAGGAGGATGAACTGGGTGATCTTGGTAATATTTCTTCCCCCAATCATTACCTCTGTGCTCCTGTTCCTAAAATAAGAAAAGAAATAGGACAATGCTTTGCAGACTCAAGTGACATTACAGCATTATCTTAATAAGAGACATTTTAAAACTTGAATAAGGCCTTAAAACAAGGCCTAAGGAATTATGTGATCTCACACACACATGAACATGTTGTACACATATACACAAATAAGTATACACAAAAACCCATGTATATACACACGTGCAAGTACTCACACACACAAACACACAGATTTGGATCATATTGTCCTGATTTCTAATTCTGACACATTTTTGTAACACAATAACTATGTTCCTAGTGAAGTTATGAATTCAGTCTTCCTACTAAAGTGTCATGTGAAGAAATCCAAAATAAATGTTGAGATATCATTTCCTGACATTATTTTAAAGTTCTAGCAAAACTTTAAGAATTATTTGCCTTATTTATAATAATTTCAAAAAATAAGTTTAATATAACATTTCCAAAGTGATCTGTATCATACTGTCATGATTTGTAATTCTGACAGGTTTGTTGGCACAAAAACTTATGTTCCCAGTAAGTTTAAAAATTGGTCTTCTAATGGAAGTGTCATATGTGGGACTTCATAAGGAGGTGGGTAGTGCCCACTCTTGATCCCAAAGAAAGTCTCATTTGTATGTTCCTCTAGAATACATGACAGTTGGGAGAATCTTATTGCTTTTGTAATTCAGTTCTATTTCTCTTACTCCGTATTAAACTATCCCAATAGCTTGAACACAATGACCTTGAACACTTACTGTAAAGAGAGGACAGAAGTCCTTAGCTAGAAGGTAGCTTCAAAACAAAGTATATAGTAAAAACATGACAAGTGGAAACCCTGATTAAAAAAAAAAGAATAAAAACTCAATTTCAATATATGTTAATACTCACCAAATATACATGGGCAGTGCACAACACCTTTTTTGTGAAAGATAACTTCTAAACCGACAAGGAATGAACACCACAGATGGGTGCGAGGAATGTGCTCCTTACTTTGTATACATTTGCCTTGTATAGTTATTCTCATGGATGAGTCTATGCCTCTCTGTCTTTGTGTGTCTCTCGCTTTTTCTATTTCACACTCTCATTCATAGATAAACACACAGGCACACTTACGCACACACACACATGTACACATACAAACATATACAGTGTGAATCACATCCAAAGAAACATATTTAAACCCAATTAAAAGTCAAACAAAAAAGTAAGGGTGCTGTGATTTTTATTTTCTTACTTATCTCTATTTCCCCAATTTTGTATATCTGCTATATTTTTATAACAATTTAAGATTTATAAAAAACCAATTTAAGATTTATATTTTATGATGATATGCAAGATATTCGTCAGTATTGCTCTCGGATAGGGTCATTTCAGGTTCCCAATCCTCAGCTACCCAAGGAACTAACTGGGAACCTCATGTTGGGCACTTGGGAGCCCCTCTAGGGTCAAATCTCTTGCTCACCCTAAAGTGGTTCCCTTAACTAAGAATTGTGGTTCCGTGCTCCCCTATCCACCTTTCCTTTATCCCAATTCTCCTGATTCCCCAAATCCCCCCTCCTTCCCTTCTACCTTTTCTCTCCCCATCTCCCCTTACCCCCATCCCACCCCACCCCCAAGATCCTAATTTTCTCCCCGGCAATTGGGTCTACTTCCCTTAGCCAAGAGGATAACTATATGTTTTTCCTTGGGTTCACCTTCTTACTTAGCTTCTTTAGGTTCACCTATTGTAGACTCCGTGGCGCTAATTTATGGCTAGAAACCAATTATGAGCGAGTACATCCCATGTTCATCTTTTTGGGTCTGGGACACCTCACTCAGGATAGTGTTTTCTATTTCCATCCATTTGCCTGCAAAATTCGAGAACCTTCATCTGGTGATGGATGGAGACAGAGACAGACCCACACTGGAGCACTGGACTGAGCTCCCAAGGTCCCAATGAGGAGCAGAAGGAGGGAGAACATGAGCAAAGAAGTCGGGACCACGAGGCGTGCACCCACCCACTGAGACAGTGGAGCTGATCTACTGGGAGCTCACCAAGGCCAGCTGGACTGTGACCGAAAAAGCATGGGATAAAACCGGACTCTCTGAACATGGCGAACAATGAGGGCTGATGAGACGCCAAGGACAATGGCACGGGGTTTTGATCCTACTTAATGTGCTGGCTTTGTGGAAGCCTAGCCAGTTTGGATGTTCACCTTCCTAGATATGGACGGAGGGGGGAGGACCTAGGACTTACCACAGGGCAGGGAACCTGGACTGCTCTTTGGACTGGAGAGGGAGGGGGAGAGGAGTGGGGGGAGGGGTAGAAGGGTGGGAGGAGGGGGAGAAGGGTGGGAGGAGGGGGAGGGAAATGGGAGGCTGGGAGGAGGTGGAAACTTGTTTTTTGTTTATGTTTTTTTTTTCTTCTTTTCTTAATAAAAAAAAATTATTTAAAAAAAAAAAAAAAAGAAAAAAAAAAAAAAGATTTATATTTTAATAACACGGGGAAAAGGAGAGAGAGATAGAGTGATGATATTCACTTTCTGGCAGCATATCCCTTCATCATGCTAACACTGTGCTGCCTCAGTAGTCTCATGTATAAATGGAGATGATGAAACTGACCATCCTCTAGCACTGCTCAAGAGACTCAATGACATAAGAGGCTTACGTGCAGAGCTCCGTTAATGTTAGCAATTATTCTTCCTGCCATCACCTCTCTCTAAAATGCAGGCAATGGTAGAACAAAGATGATATATAAAGGACCTTTTGACAGAGTTAGTCCCTACAAAACTTTTCTGATCCAGGTTTCAATAACAGTGTTGAGAAACAGTTATTAGAATATCTACTTCTGCCTAATATTTTCAAATGCCCACTCAGTCATATTGCAGATTCTCATTGCTGCATTTGTCTTCCTCCACTAAGAGCTATCTAGAAGACAGTGCTGTTGATGAAGGACTGGAGGAGACTTTCTTCCTTAGTGTTGTGTTCACTCATATTTGCATCCACCCACAAGTACAGGTGAATGTATTATCATCTGGTCCTACTCGACTTAGTATTTAAAACTCAAAATTTTACTCTTGCTTAATTTCCATTGTAGTTTTATGAGCTTGGTCATCTTTCTGTTTATTCTTAGAATAAACAATGTTGTTTCTCTGTTCATCCAAGGTGAGTTAAGTTTAATAAAAAAAATTTGAAATTATAAACCCTCATGGGTAACATTGGTAAACATCAATTTAATTGGCCAATTCTATAAAATGATTGAAATGTTGTCACTCTTTCATTGCATTCTGGTGCTATAGGCAGGCACACTTAGGTATGTTTTATGTAAGCCACTATTCCCAGTAAAGACTGGAAAATTACGGGCCATTATTTTTTCTCTTAATATTTTTTTCTAGACTAATTTATTTAAATGTTGTAACAGAGGAAAAACAAACATACTCAATCTTTTTTATTAGTGTTCTATATGTGCTCTGCTTCTCCCAAGACATTTTAAAATAAAAAAGTTATTAAAGATTCAACTGGATAAGTACAGCTTATCACTTCTGATCTAATAAGAACACGGCCAGTATAATGAAATGTCCTGGGAATAACAAGTTAAGTACATGTTGATGAGTGAGAAAAATGGGAGTAAAAGCAACTTAAGTGGACAGTTAGATCAACACTATCTGTTTCTGGAGTAGATGTGTCTGATAACTGCTCTGCTAAAACTAGTGTCTCTAGGACCACCAAAGGGGACCCTGAGAACTATGTGAAGATGGTGAAATTTCTTGTGGAGTTGTGCATGAGTATTCTGCCATATCATAAGATTTGGTTTGTCTCTTACAACTAGAAATCATGAGCCAAAGCTGTGCATCTGTATAGAACATAATTCTAATCATATAACCCTGGTAAACAAAAATGCAGCACAAAGAGTTCCAGGGAAGGCAGAAAGTTGAGATATGTGAGCAAGCATGCTTTGCCCTTAGGAAATCTGAAACTCAGTCAATTGTTATGTTTTTATCCAAATCTCAATTTGCGACTTTTAAAATCAGTTAGACCTTATAAATAATCTTATTTAGCCCTGACTGCCCTCGTTATCTCCACTGTTCTAAGTAGAAAACGGAAAGTAGTAGAATTGAAGGTACCTACTCAAGCGTTCAATAACCACCTCTCCACCCCAGATACATGTCTGATATTTTAAACAGAGGATATATTCTTTTCTCAGATCAGCATATAATTTGGGTAAAGGGAAACTGAGGGAAAATATACAGGATGTAGAAGTTAGGAGAATGATTAGGAAAAGAATGGGAAAGTCTAATCCCCATAAATATTATTAGCAGTGAATCCTCTTACAAAAATGACAGACATTAAGATAGCTAATTCCACCTGCAATTCCTACCTTCTGCCCTTCACCCAGACTAGAGGAAGACAGAATCCTTGCCAAATGTTGATACTGTGAATATTTCAAATAATTTTCCAGGAGAGGTGATAGTATATTCTTAGCAAATGTTTTTGGCCATTGACCTGGCTGTCTAGTGGTGAGATAGTGAGAGAGCAGCACTGGGGAATCCTCTTAAATGTGCTGTTGAGAGCCAAAGTGGAAAGGAAAAGCCAATTATAGAACATACTACAGACTCATGCTCTCTGGCATCACGGTTGTCATGGAGATTTTTCTAATAATTACAAGTCCAATTTACCATTGCATCAATTCTTAACTTCCCCTGTGATCTATTATGACACCAGATTGTAACTTTACTGACCTTGGAGGCATTTGATCTCCAAAGGACACAGGGATCTTCCAGTCCCAAGATCTTAAATTCTAGAAGACAGTCTTGAGTTTGGAGATGTTAAGGGTGTCTCCCAAGATAGCACAGCTAAATGATAACATAACTTGATATTGATAAATATATATGCATACAATATAGAAAGCACTTTATTTTGTACAAGTAGGCACACATGGTTTTTCTCAAATATCTGCTGTGAATCAATACAGCAGCTCTAACAAACATGCAGCTAAAACATATTGAA